ATGGGATGCACCGTGCCTCCGCCCATCCTCTGGAGGCCGCCCGGATGGGGTCGGAATAGATACGGTCGGAGGATCGTGCCGCATCGCCAATGCAATCGGCGATACATCGGCGACGTCGGCGTGGAGAAGATCGGGCTCCGCACCGCGTCGCCGATGCATCCGCGAAGCGGCGCGATCCTCCGACCCCCTCTGCACCGACCCCACCTAGGAGGCTTAGATCTGGAGTCCAGAAACGGTCCGGTGACAAACCGTGCGGTGACCGTCCGACTCACCGCACGGTGTGGCCACCACCCCGTTTGGGAGCCCCGACCTGGATCCTCGAGTGCCCCGAGTCGTCGACTGGCGATTGGTGGCGCTCGGCTTTTGCCGCCGCAAGGGGGGCCGCGAGCCCCGGCCCCGGCTCCGAGGCGACGCCTGCGACGGGAGGCGCGTGCGCAGGGCCCGCCCGCGGCGCGGGATGACCCTCGCTTTAGGTCGGGCATGTCCTCCGACAGGCAGACTTTGAGGAACAATTCAAACATAGTCAAGGCAATCATCAACAACACTCTTGACATGATCGACGAATCGCACCCAAAAGTATCTTTTGACTGTTTTTGAACGCTCCTCCTGTATAAGGGCATGCCCGACTCAAGCCTCGCTCCGGAGGGGGCAGATGCCGCGACGGCGGGAGAGGCGCCGGCACGCGGGAGAGCTCAAGAGGGGGGGACCCAAGCAGTGTGGTGACCGCACCACGTGGTGAGTCGGGGGGCGGTCTTCTTTTATTCCCAACCCTCCTGCGTTGGGTTCTCGTTTTGAATAGAGCACTGCTCGCGCCCCTCTCTTCCCCCTTGCCTTCGCTCGTCGCTGCGTGCCAGCTGGGGGGCTGCGATCTGTGACACTGTCGCCACTTTCGAGGCCTGCTGGGGGGCCCAGCACAGTGGGTACCCACCGCGGCTGGGGGCTGCGATCTGTGAAACTGTCGCCACTTTCGAGGGCTGCTGGGGGGCCCAGCACAGTCTGCACTCGCGGCGGATTCAAATTAGACCTGCCAGGGGCTGCGATCTTCGAAACTGTCACCACTTTCGAGGGCTGCTGGGGGGCCCAGCACAGTCTGCACCCGCGGCGGATCAAATGGGACCTCGCCATCCCTGGGGGGCTGCGACCTGCGAAACTGTCGCCACTTTCGAGGCCTGCTGGGGGGCCCACCACAGTTTCAATTGACCTCGCCATCCCTGGGGGGCTGCGATCTGCGAAACTGTCGCCACTTTCGAGGCCTGCTGGGGGGCCCAGCACAGTGGGAACCACCGCGGATTCAAATTGGGACCTCGCCATCCCTGGGGGGCTGCGATCTGTGAAACTTGTCGCCATTTTCCTTTCGCGCCTGCTGGGGGGGGCCCAGCACAGTTGACGCGCCACACCGCACGATGGATTCAAATTAGCCTCGAACCTCGCCCATCCCTGGGGGGTTGCGATCTGTGAAACTGTCGCCACTTTCGAGGCCTGCTTGCGGGGCCCAGCACAGTGACGCCTCCCAAGTAGCTTACACATCAAGTTGATTGTCCATACAAGTTTCGGCCAACTCCTCGATTCCATTGATACAAATGGGTTGGGTACGTCACAGGGTAATATGCCAGAGCCATCGCGCGCGCGTATCGCGCGCGCTCAGATTCTGCCTGTCATGGGGCCAACAAGCGTACAGCGCGTCAACTGGGCCGTGTCCAGATGATCGGGTCCTTGGCTTGGAGGCCAACGCGACGGTGTTTGAAGTCGCACTGAGGCGTGGTATTCGCGGCAGTCCTGGGCCATCCCTTCGGGACCAGTTGGGCCTCCGAGGCCATCTTGGAGTGAAACTTTCGCAACGCATGGGCATTCCAGAACAGACTGACACGCTGACGGCCCCCCATTGCACTACTGGAGATTTCCTGGGGCAGCCTGGAGGCCTCCTGGGACCGTCGTGGGCCCTCTTGGAACTGCTGCACAGCTCCGGCAGGCTCCTAGGGGAGTTCGGATGAAGGCGGTGGAAGAAGAAGAGGAGAGGAGGAGGAGGTGGAGGAGGAGGAAGAGGAGGAGGCGGGTGTGGGGACGAGGAGGGAATGGGGAAGAGGAGGGTGTGGGGAGGAGGAATACGAGGGAGGAGCAGGAAGGAGGAAGGAGGAAGGAGGAGGAGAAACACATGACGAACGATAGAGTGATAACGGGAAAGGGACAGACGGAAGGTGGAGGGAGAAGAAAGCAACATAATATGAGGAAGAGCAATGAAATAAGAGAGGAGAAACGTCGGAGGGAAAAGGGAGGAGGAAGGGGAGAGAGAGGGGGAGGAGACATGAGGAGGCAGGAGGAGGAAGATTCGAAGAGTGAGTGGAAGATGTTTGTAGACTTTGTGAGTGTATACTTTCGTGTCTGCGATTTGAGGCGTGCAAGCAATATCGCGCAATCCCTACGAGTGCCACTCAAGGGACTTACGAGGGCCACTCGGGCGTTCGTTGAAGGTTGTTTGGGGGCTTCTTGGTTGGAGCCGCATGGGGAGCTGGTGAAACAAACATGCATATGCGTACCAAGCGTATGCGTTTCCATTGATGAATGGGCCCGTTTTGCCGCTCGGGGCCCTCGAAATGGTTCTCTGTGAGCCGTCTCGGGGCGACTTGGGGGCTTCTCGGGCCGCGTTGCAGTCATCGCGGGCTTTCTTGAAGCGGTCTGGGAGCCATCTGGGACGTCCCGAAGATGTACCGTGAGTCTCGGGGCTTCGGGGGAGTAGGAGGAGGAAGAGGAGGAAGAGGAAGAGGAGGAAGAGGAGACGACAGGGAGGAAAGGGAGAGGGCACTGGGAGAGAAGGGGGCGCTTCATATGTCTTGGGCGCCCTCGGTGGTATTTGGCACTGGGCCCCCGGGGGGCGGGCTTCCAGCTGAGGAAACCTCCTCCTCCTCCTCCTCCTCCTCCTCCTCCCCCATTTTTTCCTCCTCCTCATCCTCCACCATATCCTCCTCCTCCTCCTCCTCCTCCTCCTCGTGGCGGCGGACGCGAGTTCGCCCGCGCCGCCCGGAACACATTGGTCGGGGGCCGGTCGACACCTCCGCTTTCCCCTTAGAGGGCACGGCGCCCACAGGGGTGGCCGGCTGTCTCAGACAGAAGCCACTCTCAGGGGAGAGGGGTCCACTGGCCTGGCTCTGCGGCGCGCTGCCCGCGGTCGCCAGCTCCGCCCGCGCCGCCAGGGTCGCCGCCGCGTCCGGGGCCGAGACTGGGCCGCTCAGCCTGGCGAGGGCCGCGCCGCCGAGGCCTCTGCGCTCAGTCTGGCGCGTCGCTCGGGCGGGCCAGGCCCGCCGGTGCCCGCCAGTCGCCGCGACGCGCAAGCGCGCGTCGTGGCCGCGCGGTAGGCCTCCGCGCTGCCGCGCTGCAGCGCGGCGGCCAAGCTCTGACGCGCCGCCGTCGACGTCGCCGTGTCGCCTGCCGCCCAGCTCCTCAGCAACGCCTGCGCCCCCTCCCCGGCGCTTCTGCGGCAAGGGCGACCAGGTAGTCCTGGGCCCCTGGACTACAAGGGCCCCAAGGGCCCCCCCGAACTAAAGGGACCCCCCCCGACTGCAAGAACCCC